AAAAAAAAAAAAAAAAAAAAAAAAAAAAAAAAAAAAAAAAGGGAGGACTTGTAACCCAGTGAGACCCTGCAATACAGCCTCTCTTTCATTTGAGGCCATGATAACTAGGTGGGGGTACTAAATCTTACCATTTCCATTAAAGGATCTGCAACAGTAGATAGTAGCCAGTACAGATTATTGAAGCCATGTGAGTCTTAGCGGCAGAAGAGAGGGGAAGAAGAAGAAAAAAAAAAAAAAAAAAAAAAAAAAAAAAGCACACTTATAAATGGTGTGCAAGTAATATATAATAATGAAAATAATAGCATACTCTTACGCTATTCAAAATATTTTGTTACCCTAAAAAAAATTAAACAGATAGGTATTGCAATTTTAAAAAATGTGCCCTGCCAACACACACTCATATGGAACAACTCCCAAAGAAAGAGGGGTGGTGTGCCACTCAAACAGCTGAGCACCAAGCCCTGTAGATCCAGAGAAAACAGGAGAGTATCATGTTGAAGGTGGGCTTCAGCAGCCTGGTGCTCATAACTTTGACTGGCACACAGATGCTCTTTCTTTGTGACTTGATCCATAGGAGAGTGTGGCGGGAGGCCACATGTTTTAAATGATACAGCACTATACATTTGTTTTTGGGTTTTATAAGGTTAACAGATTATTCACAAAAGCATTTTTTCCTAAGACATAAGATGTAATTATGCACTTAATTTGCACTAGTTGTATAACTAGCACTGTAACACGTAGTAAGTGTATTTATAAGTCAGCGCCTTTTTTTTTAACCTTATTTAATACTCACCTTATTTAGTACTCATCTTGAGAGCCAATCAAAGTGAGAACAAGCCTTCACTGACAGCTACAATAAATTATTTCTCTCACAGTGATCACTCAATCCCAATCTGCATCCTCTTCTACCAGTCTAAGCAGGTCTATAATGTGCACCTAGCATACAAGTGCCCACCTCCCCAAATGCTCTTTCATGATTTACTTTAAAAAAAAAAAAAAAAAAAAAGGAGCCTAAGCCACGGTTGTGAAAGTGCCCAATCAAGTAACCATTGAAGAAAAACAAGACAAAAAAAATTAAATCTAAATGGAGCCATCAGTAAACAGACACTGCAGGTGCTGTCATTTTAGGACACAGTTCCATTCATCTTCTGGGTCTTGTCAAACCAAAGATGCTAATTTATTAAGAATCAAAGCCACTTATCTTCATTTTGCATATTTTAAAAGCATAACCATAACACATTTAAGAAAATCTACTATAACAATTATTTCGGGACTATAGGTTTTCTTCTGTCCAACCTGTTTGGCATTAGAAAATTAAAGTTAAAGAATGATTAATCAACTCTTTTCCAGCATCAGGAATCTTCTGCTGCAACTTACCAGTGATGTCAACATCCAAGCTGACATCACCTATAACCTCCTCCAATCCATTGCTTCTTACTAGGCATGTGTGGCCAAATGCCATGTTCCGCCATCCTTTCACTCTGCTATGGAGGAGGAAGAGCATCTGTGGCTATCAAGAAAACAACCACAAAGATGTTTATTTAAATCATGCAATGAAAACATTGCAGTTTCTACAAAACTACACTGTTTTACAATAAAAGTTTACATTTACAGGTCCAGTGCACTCTGACCACTTCACTGAAATGAAATAGTCTTGGCGACTTTAATGGTCTTTTAACAGATGTAGGTCATCTCCAGCAGCTGTTTCATTAACTGGAATCCAAATGATTGTCCACTCATTGTTTTATTAATTCCAGTGGCAACACAAAAATGGGATAGAAAAGGACAGACAGTTGGATTTTCAATAAGTGCAAAGGAGGCGGTTATGGTGGTTTTGGGCAATTAAACATTCTTTTACACTGCCAGTAATTTACAATTCATATAAAGCCAGATACAAAATAGCATTAGAAATAATATTTCATACAAACAAAGAAATGAGGAAACAGCTGGGGTTGCAATAAATACTTAATGGATCAGGGTTAGCACACTATACTCCTGAAAAATAAACACATTTGTTTGGAGTAAAAAAATATTTACAGATGTAGCCAGATATACTCTATTCAAAACATGCTTTGTTAAAAACATAAATCTTCAGTTTTACAATAACCAAAAAAAAAAAAAAAATTAAAACAAAAAAAACAGAAATCATAAATAGACCACCAAAATTGTACATTAAAGCACATTGGGCCATATATTAAGAGCAATTTTGTGGCTTAATGAGAATAGATCCGCAGAATTCAGCTGACTTCGATTGGGATTGTGAAATACTGAGCACTCTGATCCATTACTTCTCTTTAAATATAGGGCCTCGTCCCTTTACCTGCCAGTTTTGTAAAACTTGTGTTATATTCTATGCCAAAATGTAAATGGTGGGCCCTAGTTAATAATTTAGTTTCTTCCCATCCTCAAATACTTAAATGAAAGACATTTTCTGAAATTACAGCAGATTCATACTTTAACACTTGGTAAACATAACTAGCATTTAACAGGACAATTCTTAACTTCGGTCTTAATAGGATATATGAAGACAGCTGTAATAAGTTAAAAAAATAAAAAGGAGTTTCAAACAAACAAACAAAAAAAAAAACCTCCAAAATTCACATTTTAGCATTCCAGAATATAATGATCCTTTGACAGCATCTGTACAAGTTTGTGCCACTGGCAAAGCTATAGTTTATACATAGGATACAAGACTAGATCATTGCCATTTTTGGCCTGCAAATAGATTGTCCCCAATATATAACGAAACATTTAATCTATCCTATTCAATAACTTGCCACTTTTATTCAATTTTGTGATCAAGGAACATTTTAACCTGTAAAAAGGAGAATCTAAGGACCACTAGTGTCAGGAAGACATACCTGTTTTCCTGACACTATATAATCCTTAGGGTCCCCCCACCCTCAGGGCCCCCTCCAGCTGGGCTAAAGGGGTTAAAAAAAAAACTCTTCAACCACCTATGCTTATCCAGCACTGGGCTCCTCGCTGCTGGTGACCTCCCCTTCCCCTCCATCAGCTCCCGAGTGGAGCTGAATGCGCATGTGCGGCTGGGGCCGCGCGCGGATTAAAACGCCCATAGGACAGAATTTCTCAATTTTCGATTTGAGCGTCGCAGAAGCGTCTCAAGAGGCGGTCAGGAAGGCTGGATTAACCCTGCAATGTAAAAAAAGCAATTTCTCTGAATCTGCCATGTTTACATCTAAAGGGTTAAAACCTGGGGGACCTGGCACCCAGATAACTTCATTGAGCTGAAGTGGTCTGGGTGACTATAGTAGTCCTTTAGTCTTGACAAACAGGTCAAAATGTTGCTAGGTAAATAAAGATGATAAAAAGTTACACTAGTTATAATATCAATGTATAGAGGTCTGTTCACAACAGTCATGGCATTAAAATTTGAAAATGACAATGACTTAAAAAGAAAAAAAAAAAAGAAGCCCATGTTGAATTCCATTAGATTTGTTGTTGCCCTACTAAACTGCACAAACCAATGCAATATTTTGTTCCAGCAGTCCAATAAGTAGGGTTTCTGACATATATACACACACAACTGTAGTTCAGTGATCAAACAGCCTGTAATTTGCATTTCCTCCATTGTTTTCAAATGCCAAAATTAGGGAAACAGATATAAGTGAGAGAAACACCAGATACATGGAGGCATATAGGATTTAAAAAAAAAATAATTCTAAATCTGCAGAAAAATCCAAACTATCCTCCCACTTCCTGAATATACACTTTGCCTGAACTAAGTATCAGTATTGGTCTATTTAGGCAACAAATATGGAAGAATTGTGATTTATTTTTCAGTGATATAAAATGTAATTATGTGGATCATGTGTCTAATTTACGTTACAGGTTGTTTATCTGGGGTTTTTCCTACTTGCACTTAGTTGTGCCAAAATATATTTTACTATGCCGTGTGAGTTTCATTTTCCAGTCTAATTTTTAGGTTCACAAATTTGTCACTTGGTATTTGTACATAAATAATGTACCTAAACACCCACACCAAAATGGTGCGCTATTTCTTTCCAACAAAGCTATATGCCAATCTTAGTGATGCAGGTTATCCATAAAGGATTAAAAAAAAATAAAAAATAAATTATATATATATATATAAATAAAATAATTTCCAATATTATTTTGTAATATTTCTATTTTGTGAATGAATTCAATTATAAAATCATCATGGGAAAAAATCCATAAGAGGAATACAAAATGGCAGAAAGATTGTTTTGGTGCCATACAGAAAAGGTGGATGGGGTGGGAGCAAAGGCAAGAAAAATACCACAAACACCAATGGATAAAAAGGTGGAGTAATAGGTATATACATAAACATATGCTCAAAACATGCGCAAACATGAATGCTAATGTAACTTTTTTATTATTATTTTTTAACACAGGATCCCCAATAAAAGGGACACTCCAGACCCCTCTATGCATTTAGAGTATGTCTTTTCTAATTTTTACCAAAAGTGCAGATATAAATAGAAATTGGCACTTTTATAAATTAATCTTGTTAACCCCCCTAGCTGTCAATCAGTTAACTGATACTTTTACTTCCTGGTTTTCCAAGCTCAGTGGAGCTAAACTCAAGAGGCAGGCAGTTCTTTACCACAGTGGTCCTCAGCCCAGTCATCATGGACCACCAACAGCCCATGTTTTGTCAGTATTTCAATTGGAATAAAATCGGGTAATACATAAATCCTAGACTGTTGGTGGTCCATGAGGACTGGGTTGTGGATTACTGGTTTAGAGCACCTTCCTTGCAAAGACTTCTCACTGTGCTGTATTGAGAAGTCAAATTGTACAGCCACAGAAAGCAATAACAGCCATAATGCTTGCAAAGCATCAGGGGAATGCAGTCCACATTTCGAGTGCCACAAGGTTGCCCAACAATGTTCTATGTCTTTGGAGTAATACATTTTTATGGGAAATGTTAAGCACACTCTTTTGCAAGTTCTAATCATAAGAAATTATGCAAAGGAATACATACTCCAAGAAGAACATTGAAGAGGCACTCCAGGCCACACACAGTATAGGTACAATGTATTGATTAGTTTTAAGATGGATAATTTTGCTTTTTAATTTTTCTTCAATGTTTAGTGTTTATTATTAATAAATTTTGCTTGAAAAGTCTATCCTTTCTGCTTTCCTACCTGCATTGTCTCCACCCCCCTTTTTTTCTCCAACATAATGTTGAAAAGGATGTCATGACAGCAAAGAACTGTTCATAGAATTAACTCAAAACATCAAAAGTCATAATTGACTTAGTGACTTTCTAGTGTGGACAGACCTCACAGTAGACACTTAACAGTCTGGGATTATTCAGAAAATTTAAGTATCTTACGTGTAGTTTAAAGCATTATTTGTAGAATGCATTGAAAGAAGAATGGCCAACTCCAGCTTGGACTTTTACCTTTTTAATATCCCAGCATGGCTTAATGTTTTGCCTTAGATAGTATAAGAATTGCAAATGTATTGTGTGGTTAAGATATCACAAACCTTGCCGGGCTATGAAACTGTGTAATAATACAAAAGGTCACTAAAATCTTTTATAAAATCAGAATTAAACATTTGCTATATAAAAAGAAACTCTCCCATGCCTGAAGATACATTATTTTGTATTGTTTTGCTCACCCGGTCTAGGAATGAAAGAGTTTATGTCAAACCAGACTGCCACATAGTTTAGCCAGGAACCTTAAATATATGTAAAAAGAAAAGCAGATTTCTGAAACAAACTATAATTTACTTTCCGTCAGACCTTTTTTTTTTTGGAACAGAATAAAAGCTTACTTGAAAGTTATACTGAAAACTAGATTTTAAAGGTATTCAATAAAGTTGAAAATAACATGCAACTCAAAATAGTGAGTAATTTAAAAATAGTTTACAAATAAAAAATAAAAAAACAAATACCCACAAATAGAAAAACCAAACCAAAAAACCAAACAAACTGTAGTTCGGAACATGACATTGTTTTTAACTTATAGATGATACAGGGTTTCCTCAAATAAGAAAAAAAAAAAAAGCATTACCTTCTTTGAAGGGTTGTAATTATTGATAAGTTCATATGCAAAATATATAAAATATACCATGCCCCCTATAATAAGGGGTCCCATTTAGAGTTTGGTGATACCATGAATAGCAAGTATCAAGTCCATAGTTGAAGACCATGCTTTATATTGCACAGCCTGAAAATTAAATACTTCAGAATGTAGAAAAGAGGAATTTGCAATTTTCACATGAGTGGCAAGTTTGTCTTGCAGGTGGCCTAGTTGTCATTTTCTGCCTTGAGTGATGCAGTAGCCAATGCTACGGCTGTGATTGGCTGTCCAAGACCATGTATCTGCATCTTTGCCATTTTCTTCTGTTCACATTCCGAAACCAACCTACTCAGTTCTGCTGCACTATAGCCAATAAGAGTCTTCAAGTCGCAAACAAACTTATAAACAAATCTCTTGCCTTGAACTTTACAGATCATGTCCCCATCATAGTAGTAGCTACAAGAAAGAAATACATGTAAATATCTAGCTTGATAATACAGACTGGAAAATATATATAGCAATTCTATAGTTTGCTTCAACAGGATAGAAAATATTGAGTAAATATGTAATCTTGTGAAAACTAAAAAGGGACACTTTTTGTGTACCAAGAACATTTGTAGATTCAGAACCTTTGGCCTAAATAACGATCTGCATTTTGCATGCTCATTATTATATAGATTATAGAAGGTTGTGGGTGGTGGAGAACCTGTCATTCAGCAGAGTGCTAGGATACGCTAGTTTAGGTCAGTTATACATTTTGCCTTTTTGCAAATAAAAAGGATGATTAAAAAGGTTATTCATTAAAGAGAGAATAGTCAGAAATTCAAAGTGAATTTCAAACAAGCATAGCTGACAGAGGAGTAGATCAAGTAAACCTATTTTAAATTTAAATTTCAGTTTGATTTCCTGTCAAATCTCACTTGAATAACCATGTAAATGTCTGAGCTGAGCACTCATTCTTGACAAATATTCCTGGGGAATGTAGTTTAATTACTAAAAAAAATTTAAAGAATTGCATAAGAGACATTTCTTAAGACTTGTCCGACATGAATGCTCAATTACTGTTGCCAACCATGGAGCTATAATACACATCTGAACATTTTTGCATATTTACCATAGCGAATAAAATGAAGAAAAAAAAACCCAAAAAAACACTTACCGCAAAGCACGGCTGAGCTTCTCATAGTTCATGGTGGGTTTATTTTTACGCTGTCCCCATTTCTGTGCCACGAGCTCTGGTTGATTTAATTTGAATTCACCTTCATCTCCAACCCAGGAAATACAATCCCTTGCATCTTTATCAGTGAGAAGCTCAAGAAGGAACTGCCAGAGCTGGATCTGCCCATTATTTCCTTAAAAAAAAAAAAATAATGAAAGGAAATCTAGCAAACCTACCTAGTGTCCCATAGTGCAAATTGCTTCAGCTAAACTTAAATTTGCACCAAGTTAAATGGACAATACAAGCACTCAAACGACCATTAAAGTGGTCTGGGTGAAATGTCCCTGTTCCCTTAACCCTGAATGCAAAACACTGTAGCGCTCTCTGTATTCTAATGTAAAAACTATGTTGGTGTCCTTACACTTTGCAAGAGGACGTCTGGTGGCCTCAAATTCCCAATAGGAAAGCACTGATTCAAAGGGTTTTTATTCACACCTATAGAACAAAAAAGGAAACAAAAACACTATAGTTCTACAAATATAATAGAAAGCATTTGTAGATCTACAGTCCTTTTCTCCTATACGTTTGCCGTTGTCTTGTATCACATGAAAGGAATATTGTCTGGGATATTTCTGGAGAGGGCTACCACTATCTAAGAAGATAGTGTGTTTTTTTCCATCACAATACTGTATTTCTTTATTGCTGGATATATTTTTTGTGTGAATCTAAAAAAACACTATAGTGTTTGGAATAGATTTTTGTATTCCTTTAAGATTTTTTGAGCTAACAAAAAAATATTATGGTCAGATGTTTTGAAGAAAAAGAGCAATGCTGTAAAGCCTTAGGTAGAATTTTTAATGCCAGACAAGAACAGTGTAAGAATGTTTATTCTCACACCAAAATGTACCCAAAGACTATAAATAAAATGGAGGGGGAAAAAATATGCTTAAATTATTATTATTATTTTTTTTTTTTTTTTAAAGAACATACACTAAAAATAAATAAAAGAAAACTTATACACAGAGTATTTTTGGGAATATAGGACACAGGATTCCTTTATCCTAAAATTTGGGGTCATAAACTGCTATAAAAGTGCTATAGTGAGACCCACATAGTGACTGATACCTGGGTCTCCTGGTGTGAGTAGGGATTTAAACCTACTCACACCATTATGTTCGGATGTACTATTTTGTCCTAACATTGTTAAGGAATTATTTGAACCGTTTTTTACAGAGATAACATGCACTTACTTTCTCAGCAAAAATGTCACGTTGTAAACATACAAAAAAGGTCAGAAAAAGAATTTAATCCCTTTGTTAATCTACAGACAAACACCTTTAATTTAAATTGCTCTCCAGACATGAGTGACCAACCTATTAAAGGGTTCATTGAGATGTGATTACAGGTTTCCTTTGAATTAAACCCACCCTGCTACCAACCAAGATGTACATCAATCCAGTCATGCCAAAAACACAGACTGATTTCAAGCCTATAAACCTCCCCAAAATAAGGCTTATGTAATATAGTAATCACAGAGATGTGGCTAAAGTAAACAAATATAATTATTGGAATTTACCTGTCCGGTTTCCAGGTGAGCTTCTGTCTTCTCCAGAAATCCGTGGCGCCCGCTGAATTTTTGAAACCTTAGGCTGACTATTTATTACTTTAATAGTTGTGGGAGTAGCTTGCTGGATTGATGCTGGTATAATTTGTACAGCTGCAGGAAATAATTTTGAAATATATCATATACAACATTACTACCTTTCACTAGATATCTGGCAGCCAATACTTAAAATAAATTAATAAAAGTAAATCACTACAGTGAACCCATACCATTTTTTCAATTATTCATCATTCAAAACTTAATTCACTGTTAAATTGACCTTCTCATGAATAAACATAGAAACAAAGAAAACCGTTGGCTGCTGTTAATAAGTGCACTAATGCGCTCTAGCTTTACAGGACGAAAAATAAAAACAATGCAATTACACTAAAATGCAAAGTTTAGAACTTTAAATATAAAACTAAAAATGCATAGTACAGTGTCATATTAATATTAAAGAGATTTCTATAATGTCTCTAGTTTAACACTGAGGAATAACTTCTAGCCTCAAGAAATTATCACAAATACTGAATCTGAGAGACAAAGTTGAAATTTCATGTTCTAGAAGGAGAAAGTGTATGTGGCCTACCTTGGCTCACAGAGCATAAAATCCACGTTGAGACGCGATACTTACACACTAAAGTTCTACCAGTGCTAGTAAGCATTTTAAAGAAGACCGTGTTTCGTGGAAATACAAAAGCCAATCATGTGAAAATGAATGGTAGAACCAGCATTTCCTGCCAAATTAATTCTATATACCTCCATTTGCTAACTTGATAAACCAAGGACAATGTTAACAAACGTACGTTGATCGATGGTAACTGTAGCGATTTCACCTCCATGTTCTTGGGAAGCCAAAACATCTGGGGGGCAAAAAAAAAAAAAAAGTTTTGTAAATAGGCATTTGGGCATTTGTCTTTAGTAATAGAATGGTCAGTGTGCACATTTAGCTTTTTAAGTAGTTAAGATTTAAAGTTACAAACATTTTCTATGCTTTCTCTATTGACAGGTTAACATGCATGCTTATAAAGGTCAGCAAAATATATCTGCAGCATGGAAGCAAATTCATTTGCATGTATTACTGAGTGACTTTAGAACAGAACCACATATTTAAAGGTGAAAAATAAAATATATATGCACACACCCAATAAACAGCCAACAACTGTTTAAAAAATGTACTCTATCAAAACGACGCAGTCTTATTTTGGAGTGTGAAATGTAAATTTTTCTGTTTCCATCTACTTAAATTCATCTTTCATCTGGCCACACTTAATTGACAAATGAGTATTGAATGTGTTATACACCAGCTTAGTGTCATCTACACAGCAGACAAAGGATCACCTTCTAAAAGATAACTTGCGGAGATCTTCATTTCTGAATTCCCTAATAACAAATAATGGATGATGTCCTTGGGTTATTTCAGAGAACCTTTATTGTCAGATCATTCCTTACAATAAAAGATTAAACTATATAAATTGACTTGGAGAGGACACTAGAAAGGATTAATGGGAATACATTTTAACCCCATAAGGACTGTATGACAGCAGGGCTTTATGGAGTGTCAAAAGAAAGCCTTATTTAAAAAATAAAAATAAAAAAAATGATATAACTGTGGTACAATGAACGCATATAAAAAGCGCTAAAAATGGTCCCTTAAGAGGTTAAATTTATGTACAATAACAATATTAATAACATTACACAAGAGCTATTATCCTTATATCAGACATGCAAGTTCTTGCATGTATGAAAATTAAAACTGCCAAAACTATTCACCAATGTATTTTTAACTATTTTCCTTACAGTTACTTAAAAACAAACATGAAATTTTTTTTTTCTGATGAAAAGAAGCCAAACAAAAAAATTGAGGATTGTATGTTATGTACAACAGAAAAAGAATGTAAAGTGTGCAGAGTATCTGCATCTGTTTAAAGGAACACAATAGGGCCAATAACACAAACATATATTCCTGACCATGTAGTGTCAAATCCGCCCGCCCCATCTCTCTAAGTATAGTAAAATCTTACTTTAGTAGTTTGCAGCTGCTGGCTCTGCCCCTGACCTGCCTGGCTGACATTATCAAAAGTTATTCTCTGAGCCAAACACAATGCTTTCCCATTGTATTGGCTGAGTGTCAAGAAGGCAGATCGGGGCAGAGACAAACACAGCCCTGGCCAATCAGCATCTCCTTATAGAGATTTGTTGAATCAATGCATCTATATGAGGAAAGTTCAGAGTCTGCATGCAGAGGGTGGAGACACTGTGCAGCACTGCCTCAGGAAGCCTCTCTAGCAGCCATCTGAAGAGTGGCCAGTGAAGTTAGTTATCACTAGGCTGTAATGTAAACAATGCATTTATTTTTTATAGATGTGTTTACTGCAAAAAGCCTGAAGGTAATGATTCTAGTCACCAGAACAAATGCAACAAGCTGTAGTTGTTCTGTTGACTATAGTGTCACTTAAATAATAAGTGTGATTGCTGCAAATCAGCAATATAGGTTTAGTAATTTAAATGGTTAAATGTTTACACACTAATTGCACCACATTTATTAAGCAATGTATTAAAATAAAAAAAATTTAAATAAAATAATTTTTCATAATATATGTATTACAATCTTAAAGCTGTATCTTACACTTTCTAAGTAGCTCCAAATGACTCCATAAAATCTCCCCCCTGGGAACTCTTTGGAAGAAATCTTCTTGGCTAAGATTACACAAGTCTCTTCCAGGGATACCAATAGCATTCAAATTTATGTCAGTCATGCAAAACTCTTTCATTACCCATAGGACCCAGTGAAGGACTTGGTCTGTAGACCACTGTAGTGGATCTGAAAAACAAAATATTACATTACAGAAGAAAACAGAGCAATGCCAACTGATACTAAATAATACATGAATACAAAAATGACATCCTCACACTTCTATTCTGGAGATAATACAGTGAGTTTCAAATTACTGTACTGAAGAGCCACCTCTGCAGCTTTACTAAGTGAGAGCAACACAAACACAGTGGCTGATAACATTCTAAAAGAGCTCGTGAGGCTCAGAAACAAGGAGGCTATTTTGTAGTCTCTTATTCAATACTTTGAAATGCAGTATAAAAAAGCTCATCTTCCCCTTATCTATCATTTCTCTTTTAAGAATGCACAGTTACTAGAACAAGAACTAAAAAAAAATTCTAAATCAGCTGAGAAAAGGTAGGGGGAGAGGATGTTTTGAAGTCAGTGTAGCTATTTTACCGTATGGTATCCCTAAACGTTCTTGTTCCTTTCTGTAGCCTTCTAATGCTGCTGCCCACCGGGTCACTTGTTCTGATGTTTCATCTGAAATGGTTGTTATGTGTTTTGTGCCATCCAGGGTTATCACATGTGATTCCTCCACCAACTGGGCTTCAACAGCACCATGATGGGCATCTGGATCAATCACCACCTCAACAGTCTCCACTGGCTTTACGATTTCAATTATATTTAACTTTGGCTCTAGTCCTGAAAAGAAAAAGTCAACAAAGTGTATTGTGTTGGATCATAAAAGTTAGAGGATTTTTGAACTTCATAACCCACCCACTGATATTCTGATACATTTCCTTTCAAACCCTGATCTGTCATTATAGACAACACAAACACAATTGCATAGATTACAGTGGACTTAAAGGTAGCCAAGTAATTTTTACAAGATCTTTCCATGGTCTTTTGGACTGATATCTCACATGATAAAGCAAAGTAAAATTAGGGATTTGGAATTGGAGGATATTTAAGTTTGTCATGACCCTAACAAATGCATGTCCACCAAGTAAAATATAACTACTGAATGTATCAGACTATTTAGGGGCAGAGTACAAACCTTGCTGGGATATTACTTGCACGCTTAACTGTACTGATCCATCTGTTTTTACTCCTTGGTCAAATAAGCTTCGCTCAGGATCAAGCTATTAAAACAAATAAAAACAAAAAATATAAAGCTTAATATACAATCAAAAACAATGACATGTCATAGAAAAAAGTTGCATACAGAATATTTAAGCCATTTATCTGAACACGGTTTACCACAACACTAATACCAGTAATTTGGCTCTGTGGAGCTAAACTCTAGAGGCAGGCAGCTATCCAGAGTACTTGCCTTGCAAAGACTTCTGAATGACCTATAAGGCTATGACTGAACAGCCTTAAAAAGCCTGCACTAGGAAGACGATGAGGTCTTGCAGTAGTTGTATATGCCCGTAATAACCAAGCTTCAGTTTGTTTGTTTTGTACTAAAAAGGGACTTGTATAACATTGAGACAACTCTGTCATTTAAAAGCTTCTCTCATGTTGTCCACAACCACTCTATGAGGGGGACACTGATCTAACCAGTTACCTATTCCTATGAATTCTGTTCCCTTAAGGACACATGACCTGTCATGATTCCCTTTTATTCCAGAAGTTTGGTCCTTAAGGGGTTAAAAAATACTGATAGGTGGAGTAGAGGTTGAATTTGATCAGTGTGATTCATGCACAGTAGGCTCCTGTGTCTGGTTTATCGCTCCCTGTTGTGTTGGTAAGTGCAGGAAGAATGTGAATTTTACTGCTGCTACACAATGGTGTCCTATTTATATTAGTGGATTGGTCTGGACTGGATTAGTGGGTGGGAAAAAGTGGGGGCTGAAGAAACCCTCCTAGCTATGTGGTGTGCCCAACAATGCAATCTGACCAAGTTTATAATACATTTATAAACGTTTATAACATACTTTTTAAAATTTTGCTGGCATTTATTTTGGTTTGTTTAAAAGCTTTGTTGTTTTCTTAAGGACAAAAAGGGTGTTACAAAATTCTCTATAATAAAAAACAAAAAAACTTCAGTTTTGTCAATAATTTGTGCATTATAAGTGCAGCTTAAGAAAAGTAATTCAAAATAAAATTAAATTTGTCCTAATTTACAGTGTACATCATATGTCAAATATTTCAGTAATAATATTTGGTAGTCACAGGTCACGAAGTACAATTTGTTATTTTGTTTAAGTTTAATAGCCATCACAGAAAACAAAACTGCAAAACATAAAAAGTATATATTTATGTAAAACAGGGTATTTATACAAGGGAATTTGACATCTATAGTGCACCCCTTTGTCACCTCCCTCCCCCCCCACCCCCACTTCTATCATTTGCCTGATTCCAACTACAAAGGAAACCTATTGCACATGCGCAACAGTCTGGTAGACAGCCACTAGAGCTGGAGTTAAAGTGACTATAGTCACCAGAACAACTACAGCTTAATGTAGTTGTTCTGGCTGGTACAGCATGTCCCTGCAGGCTTTTTGCAGTAATAACAGTCTTTTCAGAGAAAAGGCAGTGTTTACATTACAGTCTAGGGACACCTCCAGTGGCCACTCTTCAGATGGCTACTAGAGTGCTTCCTGGGCAGTGCCACAGCACTGACATTCAGTATTTCCACCCTATGCGTGGAGACATGGAACTTTCCTCATAGAGATGCATTAATTCAAGGCATCTCTATAAGGAGATAATGACTGGCCAGGGTGGTGTTTGGCTCTGCCCCATCCTGCTTTCTTGGCTGCGATAATCAGAATTGACAATCTAAGCCAATTCAATGCTTTCCTATGGGAGAGCATTGTGATTGGCCGAGATCAGGGTCAGGAATACTCCTAATTTCTAGCCATTTAGGAGTTAAATCACTGTTTATGCAGTCCTGGTTTTGACTCACACAGCTTCTATGAAAAATCTTTCTTTTAATTTTACAGTAGAGTGGGTTTAGAGGTCATCTCCTGCTTATCTAATTGACATTTAATGACACAGGAGGCTGATGCAAGCAATTAACATAACAGTAGATAATTTAAACACATTATCAGTTCAATAAAGGGAGTTTAAAAGGTTGAGCTCTTTTGCATGGTGTGTAGGGGCTGTGTGAGTAATAGCAAGTGAAGGTTAAAATGGCATAGAATTGAGTAGTGAGACTGCAGGGACATGATCTATACACCAAAGTTTCTAAATTAAGTTAAAAAGTAGTTCTAATGCTTCGAGAGTCCCCTTACATTTAACAATTGGTGTGATGAAACTAGCCCTCTATGGAGTTACCATACATTTTTCTACTTTGTAAAACTTAAAAGGGACTCATATAGGAACCCCGACCACTTCACCTCAATGGAATAGTCTGGGTGTCATGTCACTGTTATTCTAACCCTGAAAATTAATACATTGCCATTTTGCTGGGTTAACATGTCTTTACAGACAAAAAGGAAGACATCACTAGAGGCGCTTTCACAGCTATAAAAGCGAAACTTATAGATCAAGTGACTCTCGTAGAGAGAATTTGAGTGGTTCTGTGTTTTGCTGGGAATGCGCACTAGCCTCACAGTGGATTTTGCTGCACATGCGCACTAGCCCCCCACTAGATTGTCTGAGATCATCAACTGTGATGATCTCGTCCAGGGAGATCGACCAGCCGCATGGAAAATCTAAGGCAGGGGTGCCCAAAAGGTAGATCCCCAGATGTTTTAAAACTACAGCTTCCATGACGCGTTGTCATTCTAAACGCATGCAAATCATCATGGGAGTTGTAGTTCTACAACATGTGGGGATCTACCTTTTAAGAACCCCTAATGTAAGGTAAGTAAACTTACCTTTCAAAACCCTGCAAAGGGAGGTAGACATCTATATAGGTAGGGGAATATGATAACGTTATGAATACAGGTTTGTATTCATAACGAGTGTTGCTTTAAATCCATTCCATTATACAAATTCAGTCTTCACAATTATATTCAATCGCAGGGCAACTTTTACTCTGGCAGGTCTAAAGAGGTTAAAAAATAACTATACTTCACATGTTTGAGTTTTACCAAATCATTTAAAACCATATAAATATTCTTTCATAATGAGCTAATTAAAGGAACCTGAGAAATTATTTTGAATACTCTAGGTATAAAAATATTTCAAAAGCAAATTATGACTCATACCTGGATGTCTTGAAGGCAGATTTCATGGGCGTCAAGTGAACACTGAAGTCTGGGCTCCAGCAACTTTTTGAGATTTCCAATAGGTTCATTTATGTCAATAGACTGGCTCACAAACTCTGCAGTTGTATAGGTCTGCTCGATGATACTTGAAAGTAAGCAAACAAAAAAAGTTAGCACATTGTCTAACCCTCATGGTAAGTCTCATCATGGTGAGATAGATTAGATAGCTTATATAAAACAGGAAGACTGATTTTCATGCAGTGCTTTCTTTAAAGTGCAAAACGATGTTTCTAACAAACCTGTGGTGTGTGTGTTACACTTTGAAGTGCTTCAACTAATAAGGACCAGGGCTGAGGTTGCGAACAGGTTTACAACAACACTATCAGTTATAATAGTAACCAGCAGTCCAGATTCTAAAATCACAAAGTGTTGATCCATTCCATATATTTAAAAAAAAAAAAAAAAAAAAATCTGTTTCTGATAATTTGTTGTTTAAAATAATATAGCATTCACAGTGAAAACAATAGCCCCCACCCGCAGCACCAATGCTTCACTGTCATGCTGTTCTAAATCGATACTGTGAAACGCTCCTTACCCGGGACGTTTGCCACAAACTCCTGCAGGAGCCTGCTAGCTAGCCTCTTGCCCAAGGACTATGGGCCACTTACAAAGACCCTGTTCAGGAGTTAAATCTCCCCAGCCGCCATTAGCAGCTTTCCCTGGGTGCCCTTGGTTTGGCACTTTCCCTTCATTCGAATGGAATCAAACACTAGTATCCTGGTGGCCATTAGCATGAAGAAAGGCACAAATTGGCTTCAGTCGTACTTCGTCGCAATAGTTATGGAACTGTTTTTGGTATTAGGTAGCCGTGTGGCTCCCAGACAACTTGGTCTGGAGTTTTGAATGACTTTGAAATCTGTCAGGAGTGCGCTTTTTGGAGGGAAGGTGTCTGAGATCAAGGGGGAAGCACGCTAGCCGACACCTAGGCAGAGCACCCCGTATTGCGGCCAGAGGAGCTCCCAAAAGTTGACCGTCCAAAGCAACAAACGCCCTGTAATTGTTTTGGGCATAGGACCATGTGCGCAGCCGATAAGAACGTTCACATGGTGGGATTTCCCCTATACTGCATGGATCTGAGCGCTTTTTGGAGAACTTTGGCGTTCAGATCAGGGCAATTTAAGGATGTAAATTTTGTGGGTTTATATTTTTATGATGTTTTGGGGCCTTTTTATGTTTTATGCTTAGTCATTCTGACACAGAAATTAAGGGGCATGTTTTACTGTATTCACTGAGCCATAATAAAGTCAGTCTTCCTGTACCCTTCATCAAGTCTACGCTAATGTTTGGGTATGTCAGACCTATAATCACTGCTTCACTTGGGACTTGGGAGAATTATAGCAGATATACTCAGTCAGAGTTTAGGGGATCTGTTACACATACTAAATAAACTATCAAAAAAATTAAATAGATGACACGCTGACTGCAACGCAAAATAAAACACATTTTGAGATAAACAGCCAACAAAACACACCATGGCTGTTTAGCCAAGGTCTTGCAGCTGCCCAATGCTTGTTAAAAAGAACATTACAGGACAAACAATCTGGGAACAAGTTAATGTGCAATAACCCTTAACATATCAAGCTAAATATAACTTGGCCAAGTGTCAAAATAGGAGGTAAGCTAAACATACACACAATTAGCTAGGTATATTCATTAACAATAAGCATTATGAAACCAGTGCCAACGTTAAAGGTCACGTAAGGCTTCCACATTTTAGATGCAATGTGTAATTGTGCATGCAATCACTGCAGGTTCTTCAAAACAAAAGGAAAAAAGTACTCACACTTCTCACTTACCGACCAGGTTCCTACAACATGGTCGTAGAACGAATTGGTCGGTAAGTGAGGAGTTCGGGGATTCCCTGCTCTGGTGCGTTCGTCTGTCTATGGTCGGGGAAACTTCCCCAAACATAGACGAACTGACCAGAGCAGGGAATCCCTCTAATCTATGCTCGGGGAAATTTTCCGAACATAGATTAGAGGGATTCCCTGCTCTCGTGTGTTTGTCTATGTTAGAGGAAATTTCCCAGAACATAGACATGTGCACCACGACATCTCGCACTTACGCCTGGTCGTAAGTGCAAGCCGTCGTAAAACAGGTAGGTCACTAAATGAGGACCACCGGTATATGCAAGTAGTATTTTAGTTTGCATTTTTATGTCTTGCGCTCCTCACTGATGATGTATAGATGCCATGTGATCATATGAATCCACATAGAAACTGATATTTACTCTCCCTTTGTTTAGGTATTTCTTAAGTGTATATAGTTTTGAGGTATATTTTTTTATATGGATTAGGTATATTTTGGAGTGTAAAAGTATTTTTATCCTTATATCTCCTACAATGAAATACTTTTAGATGCTTTAACATTAAATATTGAAAAATGTTTAGTAGAGATTCCCCTCTATGTGTGATGATAAAAGGATGTATTTTCTCTCCCACTTTAAGGTAAGCTTTGGTGTTAATTATTATCGGTCATAGGATATTCTGAGTGGTTATGTTTAGGACAATAGGACTCAATTATCTCACAGTAATGTAGAGGTATTTTTAGGAGGACTTTGATGAGGACATACAGAACAATATTAACTCACAAATGGACTTTACTGGTTATTAGAATACCTTGCTCTTGGGGCTATTTAAATGTGTTAGTAGGACTGACAGGTACTACTTTGACAATGCCCCAGCCGAAACATATCAGCATACTCTGTTACTGGTTAGTCACGTTGTGGACACAGAAGTCTTTGGAGATACGGAGTTCTGCCCAAACCATCAGGAACAATCCTGAGGCAGAAATTGGCATCCCTAATTCAGAACTAAACACGGTAATACAGATCTGGTCTTTCATTATTCATGCATATTCCATAGGAGGCAAACAGTGGGTAACATTCATCAAGCACATTAGTGGAAAGCCATATTAGGGTCCCACAAAATCTAGTGTAAGGCATTATACCCTGTGTTGTATTTTATCTGTAATAAATATTATACTATGTTATTTATTTCCTTTTTAGTAAGGAGCTGCAAAGAACAGCCCACTTCATAAAAGGCAGCTATATTTTTGTGATTATTTACTTAACTGTGTACTACATAAAAGAAGGGATTTTGTGTAACACATTGATTACACTAGACTGTTTAATGTGTATGAACTTCACATAAGCATTTTATGAAGAGGTTATTTAATATATATTGGTTGTATGAATAACACTCAACCACTTTACTTTTATGTTTGTGAACACTTTGTTTGCAGTGGTGTACACTTTGAGGGGCACAGGTGTGTGTTTAGTTTGATAATCAGAATGCATATATTAATTCATTGACAAGTATTTGTATTACTATAAAGCCATTCTTCATGTGAGTGTTCATAAGGGTTTCTCCAACCACCATGACTGCTTCAGAGATTTTAAGTGGTTATGGTGCTAGGAGTCAGTATGTGCAATGTTTTAGGTAGAAACACTGCACAGCCAGAAATACTGTTACCGTATATACTCGAGTATAAGCAGAGTTTTTCAGCACACTTTTTGTGCTGAAAAACCCCAACTCGGCTTATACTCGAGTCACTGTCTGTATTATGGCAATTTACATTGCCATAATACAGACTGGGGGCTGGCAGAGCTGTTACTTACCTTTCCTGCAGCTCCTGTCAGCTCCCTCCTCCTCCGCGCCGGTCCGTGCAGCACCTCAGTCAGCTCCCAGTGTAAGTCTCGCGAGAGCCGCGGGGTCATAGTGCGGCTCTCGCGAGACTTACAGTGTGAGCTGACAGAAGAGCTGCACGGACCGGCGCGGAGGAGGAGAGAGCTGACAGGAGCTGCAGGAGAGGTAAGTAACAGCTCTGCCAGCCCCCCTCCTCCCCCCACTGAACTGCCAATGCCACTGGACCACCAGGGAAGGAGAGCCCCCCTCCCTGCCATGTATCAAGCAGGGAGGGGGGACGAAAAATAAATAAATTAATAATAATAATAAAATAATAATAAACAAAATAATAATATAACAAAAAAATGAACTAAAAACTATAATAAATATAAATAATAAAAATAATAATAAAAAAATTATTAAAAAAATAATAATATAACAAAAAAAAATGTAAATAATAATATTTTTTTTTTATAAAAATGCCCACCCCCCACCAAGGCTCTGCAACACAAACACACACTGCATCACACACACTGCATCACACACACACTGCATCACACACACACTGCATCACACACACACTGCATCACACACACTGCATTCATACACACACACTGCATCACACACACTGCATTCATACACACACACTGCACCACACACACTGCATTACACACATACACTGCACTCATACACACATACACTGCATTCATACACACATACACTGCACTCATACACACACACTGCATTCATACACACACTGCATTCATACACACACACTGCATTCATACATCACACACTGCATTCATACTCACATACACTGCACTCATACACACACACTGCGCACTCATATACACACTGCATTTATACACACACTGCGCACTCATACACACACACTGCATTCATCATATACACACACTGTAAATAAATATTCAATTAATATAATTTTTTTAGGATCTAATTTTATTTAGAAATTTACCAGTAGCTGCTGCATTTCCCACCCTAGTCTTATACTCGAGTCAATAAGTTTTCCCAGTTTTTTGGGGTAAAATTAGGGGCCTCGGCTTATATTCGGGTCGGCTTATACTCGAGTATATACGGTAATTATGTGCTGGGGCTAGTTGCACCCCCAGAACTCTGTTCAAGGCTGCTTAATGTCATTTCTGTGCATGTTTAACGTCAGTTGTTAGCGTGCACTGAATGCTCAAAGACGTTAATGGTCAGGAACACAAACATGTATTCCTTACCCTATAGTGTTTAAACCACAATCTAGTCCCTATGGCACCCCTAAATATAGTAAAATCGTACTTGTAAATAGAGTCTGCCGCTGATGGCTCTGCCCCTAAATTGAATCAATGCATCTCTAAGAAGAAAGTTCAATGCCTGCATGCAGAAGGAGGAGACATTGAATGGCAGTGCTGCTCACTGTGCAACACTGCACCAGGAAGCACCTCTAGCAGCCATCTGAGGAGTGGCCAGTGAAGTTATCACTAGACTGTAATGTAAACACTGCATTTTCTCTGAAAAGACAGGGTTTACAGCAAAAAACTGAAGTCAATGATTCTACTCACCAGAACAAATGCGATAGGCTGTAGTTTTTCTGGTAACTATAGTGTCCCTTTAAATTATCCCCTACAAGGAGAAGCTACTACTACCCTCATGCGTCATTAACTTATTTTTCTTAAAAATACTCCCCTCACAGTCCCGGAGCATGCGCTCTGAGCCGGTGAAATGGTCCAATCCCATCGGACGTGTGGCCCCAGTGACATCAGGAGGAAGCGTGGAAGATCAGTGCTGGGAGGTTTGTCCAGTGCTGGATTCAAGATAAGCAACACTTTCTTTTGCAGATTTTACTACCAATTGAAAGGTGGGAACCTTATCTGCAGTGCCCAACAGGGCATTTTACACCAAAAAGGTACCCCATCTCAAAAGGGTTATAGTAATGATCCCAATAGGCATATAAAGGCCTGTTTAGAGGGAAAAATTACATCTGAGCAACTATACCTTTCTTCTGTGCATTCTGTCTTCTCTGAGCCATCAATTTCTATCTCTATTAAGTCCTCAGAATCCCTCTTTGTCATGGCTGGAGTAATATCAGAAAAGCAGGCCTGAAAATGTAAGGAATAATACAAAGATTATGCGTAACAGCAGTTAGATTATAAAAACAATGCATGCCATATTACCCTCTTAGTAAATGGCGGAAGGAAGAGTGAGCAAGCCATTTGTTATCCTGATGTGGGAGTAGTGGCCAGCAGAAATGTATACCGGGGCAGTACTAGTGGGATAAGCTATCAAGAAGGCAGTGGTATGAGCAGCCTGACGGCACTGTGGTTTGAAAGTAGAAGTGGACATCTGGATAAGAATTGAGCAGTAGAATGTTTATAGTTGATTTGTCACCAAAATAAACCATCTAATCTGCTTCTACATAGCTCCCTGTATCTTAACCTCTTTTTCCCACCTGAGCGCACCAATTTTTATAAATTATATAAAAGTAAAAAAACAAACAAACATTGAAATATGGATTAAAACTACAATGAAGAAAAACCATCTCCAGCATAAAGAAGGATATGCAACATAAATAAGTTTGCTTCAGTCACAATTACAGTAACATCTGGATTTAGGAGAATACAATAAAAATAAAACTTTTTTTCAATCCAACCACTTCAGGCTGGGCTTGACCCATGTACAGTGCAATGTCCCTCTAAAGAGTCACTAAGCATCATAGCAAGTTTTAACAATTGCAAAGGTAAAAGTGTGTAGAGCCTATAGAAAATATTCATCGTTGTTTTAAGAGTGGCTTTGACATGCAGATATTTTTAAAGAATAGAGCTGTCAATCACCTGAGCCCAGAATAAGAGTTATGGGTTGCCTGTGCAAATTCCAAATGTGTGGTGTGTGTCACTGTAGACAACTTGGACAGAGCCCTCCTGCCATCAAGGATAAACTGACAGAAACCATATAGCCATAGCTACAATCAGTTCACTAAACAGTTCTACTTATTCTGTGTGATAATCAAAACTGCTCTTTGAGATAAAACAGTTTATCAAATAGAACCCAATTGTGCTGATGAGTAAGAGGTCTACAGCTCCACTGAATGTATCTGAAGGATATACTGAAACAGTTTCTCTTTAATTGCTTTGTTTTCAACCAAGAGCCTACAGAATCCTGACATGTAGTCTTATGAATATTTAATAAACTTAACTGTGTGGCACACAGTGTATAAATATATCTAATATAATTTACTGTTTTTTTCTAAATGCACCACATGATGTGCTGTCATGCATAGTGCAGTTGAACTACAGGAAGCAGGATGTTCTATCTGCAATCACTGCTCTGGAACAAGACTGAAATGCATGTCTATATCGTGCATCCTGACAAGTATTCTTAAGTAGCCAGATGGAAAAATAAATGCTTATGCAAAGGCAATTACGAGAAAGCCATACTTTTGTAGTGTGGTAGTTAAAGCTTCAACTTTCAAATATGTGTTTTTTTGTAATGCCACTAAAGGAATTTGACAGGAAACTGATCTACAGTGCCCACTTGACTCCCTGCACCAAACCAATGATGTGAAGTGATTATGGCACATGTAGGAGGGAGGTGGGGGAGAGACGACAAAAAACTAATGTATACTTCGAAACACTACATAAAGGGACACTATAGTCACCAGAACAACTACAGCTTAATGTATTTGTTTTAGTGAGTATAATCATTCCCTTCAGGCTTTTTGCAGTAAACACTGTCTTCAGAGAAAATGCAGTGTTTACATTGCAGCCTAGGGATACCTCCACTGGCCACTTTTCAGATGGCTATTAGAGGTGCTTCCTGGGGCAGCACTGCCATTCAGTGTCTCCACCCTCTGCTTTCCTCACAGAGATGCACCGATTAAATACACCTCTGTAAGGAGATGCTGATTGGCAAGGGCTCATGCTGGCTCTGCCCCTGAACTGCTTTCTTGACAAGCTCAGCCAATCCAATGTTTTCCTCTGGGAAAGCCTTGTGACTGGCTCAGAACATCACTTCTGATGTCAGCCAAACACGCAGATCAGGGGCAGAGCCAGCAGCAGCAGACTGGCATAAAAGTAATATTTTACTACATTTAGGAGAAGAGGGCTAGATTGCGTTAACACTATAGGGACAGGAATCCTTTAAAGGACCACTATTGTGCCAGGAAAACAAACTCGTTTTCCTGACACTATAGCATCCTTGGGACCCCCAAACCCTCAGGGCCCCCCTCCTGCTGGGCTGAAGGGGGAGGAAGGGGGTTAAACACTTACCTTTCTCCAGCGCCGGGCTCCCTCTGGGGACTCTCCTCTCTCTTCTGATGTAATCGTCAGAATGCGCATGCGCGGCAAGAGCCACGCACGCAGCCATTCCATAGGAAAGCATTCTCAATGCTTTCCTATGGACGCTGGCGTCTTCTCACTGTGAAAAATCACAGTGAGAAGCGCCTCTAGTAGCTGTCAATGAGACAGCCACTAAAGGCTGGATTAACCCTAATGTAAACATAGCATACTGCAGGCAGGGTTAATCCTAGATGGACCTGGCACCCAGATCACTTCATTGAGCTGAAGTGGTCTGGGTGCCTATAGTGGTCCTTTAAGATTTCACGCTCCTAGATAGAAGCAAAACACAGCCTGAGAATGGACTATGTTATTAAATCTGCAAACAAACCTTAAATTTTATTTTTTTTAACATCTGCGGGATTTAAAGCAATTAGGAGTTTAGAACCACATTAATGGGAGATGTAATCCACAACATCGGCGAGTGACAAAGATTGCCTACCCCTCAGTGCATAAGTCACACTCAGCCTACCCACCCCATTGCTGTTCCTGTCAAGCCAACACACAAATACGCTAGACACAAAGCAGTGTCATCTGTGGACTGTTTCCCACCATACTCATCTTACCCACCCCATTACTGCGCCTGTCAAGCCAACACGCAAATACACTCAGCATGAAGCTGTGTGATCTGGGGACTGTTTCCCATCCTGGTACTGCTCCTGTCAAGCCAACACACAAATACACTTAGACATGAAGCTGTGTCATCTAGGGACTGCGTTTCCCACCATGCTCAGCCAAGCCACTGCCATGGCCTCCAAGTTATAATAAAGCCATATCAATATATATATACACACCACCTACAAACACACAGCTATGCCACTAAGTCTACTACATTACCCATGATCCTCAGCCACTCACTGAACAGACTGAGCATCATGGGAAGTGTAGTTCTCAGTCACAGAAGGCACAGAAGCCGTTAATTTCCACTGTGGCACGTGACAGTGGGGATCCCCCGAGCCGCCCGTGTCACACGGCTTGCTGGCAAACTATCTCAGAACATAACATGGCTGTGCTGGGAATGGCGCACTTACCGCACTTCTTCTCCTTTTCAAACTCTCCGGCCTCCTGCGAACGGAAATGAGCAGCGGCCGACGGAAACACAACAACACACAGGGCGGAATACAGGGGGAGTGTGTGTCGCAACGCAACAGGAAACAAGATGGCGGCACTTCCGGTGTGGAAGTACATTCGTCGTTGGCGGGAATGAAGCCCCAGGAGACGGGGGGCGGGGTCTGCTGGTAACGGTGACGTCAGAGCGTGACGTTCCAGCTGTGGGCGGGGCAGGGGAAGGTGTGCATGTTGCTGTGAAGAATACAAAGCGTTCTATTCAGTAAGCTAAGGTTCCACTCACCTTATGTTACAGTAAATGTATCAGTTCATGCATACCTGCCCCTCCTCCTGTTTGTTCACATTCTCTCTTGCTCTGCATTATATGAAAATATATCCAGCAAGGATAAAATGGCCATTTGTACCCAGGATAGGCAGACCTCTGATGAAGTGCACAAAATGCATTATTACACAGATGGTGGTCGTGGTTCCCTGATACATTTATGGCGATTTTACTATGAAGAAATTAGGCTATTTGATTTTACTCAAGTTTTCGGGTGGTGCTACTTTTTTGACGTTTCCGAGAAGAGCTTTGACCTGTTTTTAGTTGACAGTTAACCGTGAGACGTGGATCCTCAGTCTAGCAGCTTCTCAATGTTGTGAGGGTTTTTTTCGACAAAGTTTAAAATTAAAACCAATGTGATGGACCACCTGGCACCCCAACTGGGTGCCTCCGCCTATCGAAACACCTAGAGCTCACGAGGACTCCAAGCACTCCAACAGACACCATCAGCACCGTAGACTCCCACAAACCACCGCAGCTTGGTTGAGGATCTCGCCATCCTCCACCCACCCTGGATCCAAGACCAGGATCCAGCTTCCAGTGGGTGAACCTCTCCTACTCCAGAGAGTATAGCAGGAACAGCTCTTTTAGGAGCTAGTGGTTATAATTCCAGGGAGTATAAGGAGTATAGCAATCCCCAGAGTGAATATAGCTGTCCCCTCCACACATGAGACGAGGCTCTATGTTGAGGGTGAAGAGGAACTGATTTTAATGGTGCCACACATGTTACAAAGTCACAGATCAATAATCCCAGTGTTATAATGCATGACACTTCCCTATACAATACAATAACCCTTTACTTAGGAGATAATTGAGTCAAGCACTATACTAAACTCAATTATCTCCAAACACAAAAAACACACATTTTTACAAAACCCCGAAAATACCTTAAAATACATAAAATCAGTAGATGGTGTAGTGCGCCCACGCGGTTACACCGCATCTATCCGCAGGTTCCAGATGTGCGCTGTACGTGTGGAGGGAACAGGGGCACATACTTACACATCTGGTGGGAATTCTATCTGTTGACAGCTGCCAAGGCCCTTATTATCAAGTACTGGAAACAACAGACCCCACCCCCAATAGAGGAATGGTTCTCTAGAGTAGAATGTATCAGAGCTATGGAGGAGATAGGGTACTCCCTTTCAAGTCACACAACTAGATACCCAGACACATGGGACCCATGGATCCAACAATCTCATCATTATAGAACACAAACTGCCTTGGTTGGAACCTAGGCTCATCCTGACCCCTAACAAGGACAGCTCAAGGAGGGGACAATGTGAGCCGGGTACGAACTAGATGCAGGGAACACCACCACAGACACAATACCTGAACAATCCCCATGAAAGGGAAATAGGGAAAAATCTGTCCAGCACTATGAAAAGTACTGTAACTTGGCTACACAACAGACACACTCATACACACCTAACTGAAAGAGAAGATAAACCCTCACTATAAAACAACATACCTACACACGTTACTGTTGTGACAAACAGTGGTTATAAATGTTCTAACTCTTACTGTTCTATATGGCTAAATGGCAGACGTGTCAAACCTCTTGATAATGCACAACGTAAACAGTGTATCAACCATGGTAAACCTAACTGTTCTACACCTGGAGACACCATGTCTCTTACCTCCCTCCAAGGCTTTGTAGGGAAAGTACCTGGGCTTAAGTGTTAATACAAAAATGTACGCACTACAGTGATTTAAACCAAGGTTTATCACAGGGGCCATAGTCACAGGGTAAGAGGCTGGCAAGTATACCCCTCCAAGAACTTGTAACGAGGTCCAGTTCGTCACAATTGGAAACCCAGAACTCTGTTCCAGGCTGCCAATGTCAATTCTATGCATATTTTGCATCTGAGTGCCTGCAAGGGGATGATAGCTTACTCGCACTGTGTCCTCCCTCCATTGCCCTCTTATTTTACTATTTGTTTTATAAAATTCTTGCTGCCTCCGCTTCCCTCGCCAGCCAGGAGTGTGTGCAGGGGCTCTGAGAAACCTGTTATTAGGCTACATGCAGCCTTCTGCGACATTAGAGGGGGAGCGGGAGATCTGTGCAGAGAGCTTCGTCTGGTGCTGGATTTCAGATAAGTAAATATCGTTTGCATGTTGTGAGAGAATGGAGGGGACACCCCACAGTGCCCCCCTCCAAAAGGGTTGGAGTAACTCTTTAAGGCCAAAATAGCTGAATCTGAAGCATTGCTTACTTACTAGTTCAGCTATTGTGGCCTTAAAGGATCACTATAGTGTTATGAATACAAACGTGTTTTCCTAACACTAGAGTTTTGAATTAAATGCTTAGGTGACCAACCCACTCACATAATGCAGCACTGAAATAGCAAGCACCACTAGTGGCCGTGTGAGTGAGGGTACCCAGAGGTGTTACTAGGCAGCAATGTAAACACTTCCCTTTCACTGAAAAGGCAGCATTTAAATTGCTGAGCATGCTGCTCTGCTACATTTAGCAGTAGTGATTCTGTTGACTATAGTGTCCCTTTGAGTTTGAAATTCACTTTGAATTCCCAGCAGTTGTCACTTTAGTGAATATGTCTATACATGTTCATGACACACTTTGAGGTGTTGGCTGGGCTAACCAAAGTTACTGTAAATTGTTGAACTGATGTGGAGATTAATGCAGACCATTAGCTTCTCAATATACCCATGATCACTGTTCCCTCTAAGGTAGGCACTTGTGCACAGGCACACTTTTTTGAGGGAGCGCACACAGGGTAAGAATTAGGGCACAAAGGGTTTTATTTGCTCAAATTCTTACCATGTGTTGGGGCCCTGGAGGTGGGGAGGCACTTATCAGTAATGCAGAGTAGGCACATGGCAGGTGCCTACTCTACTGATATACACTAGGTCGGAGAGGAGGCAGAGGTGGCGAGGGAGCACTGATGATGTCTTTCCAGTTCCTCTCTGCTACCTCACACACCCTCTGTAGTGATGCTGGGAGTCTGATTATGATGACACTCCAACCCGGCATCACTAAACAGCATGAGGAAGCAAAGAAGAAAATCCCCACTGGATCCCAGGGAGAAGATCCCCATTGGATACCAGGGAGAAGATCCCCCAACTGGACCCCAGGGAGAGTACCCACACCAGAAATAAAATGCAATAAGTGTGTGTGCAATAATGTGTAAATGTGTGAGTGTGTCTGTCATTGAGAGTGTGTGTCAGTGTGTGTGTGTGTGTTGAGAGTATGTCAGTGTTCCCGTCAGTGAGTGTGACTGTCAGTGTGTTTCAAATCAGTGAGATTGTGTGTCTGTCATTAAGAGTGCGTGTCACTGTTTCTGTCAGTGTGTCTGTGTGTTTCAAATCAGTGAGATTTTGGGTCTGTCATTAAGAGTGTGCATCTGTATGTTTAAAAAGCATTAATGTATATCTCACCATTTATTGGGCAAAGAGTTCCTTTTGCAAATTCTATGGGTGACATGACATCTCTCCTCCTCTCCATATATGTTTGCTATAATTGTGTCAACTGAATTTAATTTATGTGTAAGAAGCATTTATTATGTATATATCATAATTTATTTGACAGCATTAATGGTTTTTGCTAAAGTTGGGGAATTAACATGTTTGCCAAAATATAGTCAACAAGCTACATATACAGTATTATCTTTTGGCTGGATGAAAGGTCGATTTTTTTATGAACTAAACAATCAAACGAACAGATTGGCGCAACTACGATCTTATAGAATATATTTGCCAGTTATTAGGCGCATATTATGTGGATAAAATTGAACATACACATTCTTGGTGCTGGACTTGGTAAAACTCCAATAGAAAAACTTATCTCCAAATGATCCCTAACGTAATACATGCCACTGAACACACCAATCTTCTTAGAAAAGATACATTTATTTGCCAAAAATATAAAACATGGAAATACAAGCAAACAATTGCCTAAAACAGTCCTCATATGTGCCAGTTCAATATCATATAGTATGTGAAGGTTGATAACAACATGCTCTGTGGTCCCAGTCTGTCATAATATGCAGTAATACCCACTGGGAAACAAATATATATCAAAGGTGGGACCGAAATGCCCTGAACGTGTTTCACAACAGGCACAGAGCTTTCTCAACTCTTTAGAAAGTGCTGTGCCAGGTGTGAAAAGCATTCAGGGCATTTAGGTCACTTCTATGTGGTTCTTCCACTTTCTGACAGGTGCTGTTCTTTTATAATTTTTTCCTAGCTTCTGTTAGGAGTCACTGTTATGTGACTATTAATACTACATCACTGTAGTGTAGTGTTATAAGCCATAATAGAGATGCTGTACCAAAATTATCGAGAAACAAAATTCAGGTTTACATTTGCACAAACATTCAGTGCGCACAAAAGTTTGGGTCAGGAAACATTTTGCACAAGAGAAAATTTCTGCACGCACAAACTAAGAAAAATAATAGGGAATATTGCCCATGATCTCTGTAAGCAAGTGTTTAATTTTCAATGGAGTAAAGGTTGTTTCCAGTCCTTGGCTTAATCTTATCACGCTGCTAGAGCCATTCTAATAATAATCAGACAATTTTTTTTTATTTTTTTTTAAACCATTCTTCATGCCCTATCATGAATGGCTTTGAAGTCATCTACTATTATATAATTATTTATTTATTTTGCTTTTTATATATATATATATATTATCTATGAATTAAAATTTTTATTTATAAAATGCATTAAAATCGCATTAATGTAAATAAAAAAAAAAATCACATTTAACGGTTACATATTATAACACTATAAAAAATATGACATTCACAAGAAAGAACTAAAATCATTGCTTAACAGTAAGTTTTAATAATTTAGAAAATCTGAATCACTGTTCACTTTAGAAATCTGCGGCTGTTTTAAATGATTTTTCTGATAACACTCAGCTGGCTGAGCATGATGAGAGCTGTAGTTTAGACTATCTCTATCTATATGGGGAGAAGGCTGAAGGTTATCCCTAGACTAGCATAGCACAGCTGGCCCAATGCAGGGACAGGAGCAGTCAGTAACAATGTGACCTCCCAGCTGTCACAGCGCGTCACGTGACCTCGGCAGAGGAAGGACGGCGTTTTCCCGGCATCCTCCCTGTCGTGACGCAATCAGCGTGCGTCGGCGGACAGTGACAGAGGTGCAAGGTGACCGCTTGTTTGGATCCCGGAGAGGTAAGTGTGCCGGGGGGGTTAGAGGTAGGTTATTCGGGCTGAGCGACTTCATAGGCGAACGGAATGGTAAATAACCCGGTCTGGTGTGAATAGAGCGTGACCTGCAGCCAGGGCGGCCATAGAGCATTATTCCAGCAATATCTCTTATACAGGCAGGGCTGGGGGGATATTATAATAATAATAATAATAATATAATAATATCTAACTGGTATCCGAGCAGGGCTGGGGGATATTATTATAATAATAATAATAATAATATAATATCTAACTGGTATCCGAGCAGGGCTGGGGGATATTATTATAATAATAATAATATAATATCTAACTGGTATCCGAGCAGGGCTGGGGGACATAATAATATTATAATATCTAACTGGTATCCGAGCAGGGCTTGGGGGGATTATTATTAATATTATAATATCTAACTGGTATCCAAGCAGGGCTGGAGGATATTATTATAATAATAATAATATAATATCTAACTGGTATCCGAGCAGGGCTGGGGGACATAATAATATTATAATATCTAACTGGTATCCGAGCAGGGCTGGGGGATATTATTATAATAATAATAATATAATATCTAACTGGTATCCGAGCAGGGCTGGGGGACATAATAATATTATAATATCTAACTGGTATCCGAGCAGGGCTGGGGGGGATTATTATAATAATAATAATATAATATCTAACTGGTATCCGAGCAGGGCTGGGGGACATAATAATATTATAATATCTAACTGGTATCCGAGCAGGGCTTGGGGGGATTATTATTAATATTATAATATCTAACTGGTATCCAAGCAGGGCTGGGGGACATAATAATAATATAATATCTAACTGGTATCCGAGCAGGGCTGTGGGGCTTAATAATAATAATAATAATGTCTAACTGGTATCTGAGCAGGGCTGGGGCACTTAATAATAATAATATTATTAAGCCCCCCAGCCCTGCTCGGATACCAGCTAGATGATATTATTATTATTACTATTATTATCATCATCATCTAACTGGTACCAGAGCAGGACTGGGGGACTTATTATAACTGCAAGGATGAAAAGACCACAACCCCTCTCTCAGAAAAGCCAGTATTTACACTTTAAGACAGCCGTTCTCTGAAACTGCTATGTTTACAGCAGGCAGTATTAATCCAAGATGAACCTGGCACCCAGACCACTTAATTGAGCTGAAGTGGTCTGGGTGCCTATAGTGGTCTTTTAATATAGAACAGGTAGGAAATATATAATCATCCACGTGCGTTCTTTGGGGAGCAGTATGGCAGAAAAAATGGATAGTCACTCATTTGTATATTTTAAAATCCTTTTATACAAGCTACCATACTCCGTCTACTAATTGTATTGGACATGTAGGATTTGTACACTAAGCCTAAAACTAATTTTTTTTTTTTTCCTGTCTCTTTTTTTTCTTCTTTTAAGTGAGCATCACGTGTAACCATGATTCTTCAACGCTTGTTTAGTTTCTCATCTGTGTTACGGAGCGCAGTCTCGATCCATCTACGTAGGAATATTGGATTGACGGCTGTTGCATTCAACAAGACCAGAGAGCTAGATCCTGTCCAAAAGCTGTTTGTGGATAAGATTCGGGAATACAACACTAAGAGCCAGTATGTATAATAACATTAATCTGCCAGTAAAAAAATGTTTTTCTCATTTATATTGACAGTGCCAAAGGGTTGTTCTTCCAACTAATGGACAGGTGACCTCCAACTAGTATACATGTCCCATCGCTGCATCCTATAAATACCTCAATTTAGCCACCGTTCCTCAGTTCTTATCTTGTTGACAGGTATCCAAGGGGGAAAAAAAGAGCGTTTTATCTCTGTATGCACCATGCTAGCCTGGTGTCTAATACTTCACTTGGTAGGTGGCCAGGAGTCAGAATTGCAGAAGGAGCATCAAATAACTCTGTTTTCCATGGAGCAGTTGGTGCTTTTCAACTCTTCAAATTCTGGCCCAGGAGGTGGAAATTAGTTCAGCGAGCAGGGAGCTTGTGCACAGCCAGAACAACGCATTCTTCACCTCCTCTCTGTTGTACTCCGATGCATGCGCAAATGTAGACAATTTTGACGACAAAATTTGAGCTGGGCCAAGTTATTTAATGGCTGCTTGGCCTGTCTGACCACAGGGTGAATGTCAGCTCAGCAAAAACAGTGTCCACCAGCCATCCTACATAGTCTGGAGTCTTTAATGTGAGAGGAATATATATACCTGCAACTTAAGAGACGTTGTGGTAAAAATATTTGCTTAATTAGTTTTTATAGCTGATATAGGTGTACCCCTCCTTTCTAAATAAATGAAAACAACAAAACTTTACAACAGATGTTAGAAGCAGCACTACAGAAAATCTCTGCACCTGCCTGTGCAAACGTGACCAATTTCATCATCAGAGATCTCGCCTGGAGAATGTTCAGGAAGCACAGTTGACAGAATATTCCAGTAGGGATTTAGAGTTGGAAACCTACACATACAGAAGTACCTCTATGTATCTACTGAACCGAATTACCCAAATACATATGGCTAAATCAATATAAATGTATCAAATTCTTAAATAAGAATTTTGTGTTAAAGAGACATTCTTACCTTGCAGCAGATTTTAGGATAATTAAACACTGTCAAAGGTTCACCAACGCAGGAATCATCCACCCGATGAAATCCTAATTTTATAGCCACCTTAAGCACCGCCACATTTAACTGACCTTTTTACATGCTACTGGCGCTTTAAGGGACACTTGCGCATTCACTCCCGAAAGACGCCAGTCCTCCTCCTTCTAGAATTTGCCGAACACACAGGAAAGAGAGCTGAGCTTGGTAAGTAAAGGAAAGACCGTACTTGTAAACACAAATTCACCCCAATACCTACCGATAAACAGGACAGTCCAGCAGATGTTGGGGGGAAAAGGAGAAGAAAAATTGATTCTTTTGGTCAATCCTTTAGTAATGAGAACACAAATTGGAAGGGTTCCAGCCTCAGGGCTTAGCAGGGGAATACAAAAAGCCCTTACCTATATAAGCACATAGATCAAATGTAGGGAAACAGAGTGAGGGAAAACCAAATAAGGGGGCTTCCTTACCACCTCTAGCTTTTGATAATCCGGAGAGATTTCTTCAATTACTATATCCTAAAATAGTAATCATAACCAAGGGAGTTCCAAACGGCTTGAGATGTATCTGGGTTCTTCCTTGGGGAGAGAGGCTGAACTCCCAAGGGGGCCATATTGAAAAACTTATGGCAGGCGAGCTTTAAAAGAAAAATATCTTTAGCTGCCTAACAGCTGGAGGACAGGAAAAAAGATTGCCAGTATAGGGGAGGAGGGTCCTTATATATGTTATTGCAAAGTTTATTATTCCTGTCCTATGAGCCGAGAGGGAGGAGCTTAACCCATTGGTGATGCTGACCTGGATTAAACAGGAAACAGGATTTACAGTTTCTTAAAGGGACACTGCAGACACCCAGACCACTTCAGCTCATTGAAGTGGCCTGGGTGCTGTCTCCCATTTGCACATAGTGCTGCAATGTAAAACATTTACATTGCAGCTCTGAGGCTGTCTGCCAGAAAGCCACTGGGGGCGCTTCCAGAATCCAAACGGACTTTTTTGGTCCGTTATCGGACTATGGACTTCCTCACGGACCTCCAGCATCAGATTTTCCCAATAGGAAAGCATTGAATAATGCTTTCGTATGGTGAGGTATAATGCGCGTGCGCCCATTGCCGAGCATGCGCATTAGGTCTCCCCCGTCGGCTGACGTCGGTGGGGTAGGAGAGTGGGCTGAGCCTGACCCAGCGCCGAGGAAGATTGGCGCTGGATTCGGGTAAGTGGCTGAAGGGGTTTTAATCCCTTCAGCACCATGGGAGGGGGGTCGCGAGGGAGGGGTTTGTTTTCCTGCCACTATAGGATCCCTTTAAATTAGCAGAATTATAAGAGATGTTTGCAAAACTATGGAGGATTCCGAAAAACAGGACTGGAAAAGGTTTGCAATTCCTGGAAAAGTTCCAGGGTCTTATGAACGGCTAGTGGGACCCATCCAGAATATAATAGCCTTCGTTTATAATACATTTAAATGTAAAATTGCAGAATTCTGATGCATGTGAGGATCATCTGCCAATGGTTGATGTCCCAATTCCTCAATTATCCAAAAACAACCACTTATTTTAGAGAAGTTACAGGCTCAAATATATCCGATGGACAAGAGGGATGATACCTTCTGTAGAAGAATGTTCCATTTGTCTGCATATCAGAGCAAAGCTTTGAACACTGGAGCCACAGTTAATGGGGCTTAGCATTTGACTACAAGAGCTGGAAGATTGGCTGGGAAACTGGACTGTGGGTGTTGATTTGTTAAGAAACATTAGAATGGCTTATGAATTCTTGTCAGAAATACCTTCAGAAGCTTTAAAGCTTTCTGACTGAAATATGGGCTCATATCGTTGGTCAGCTAATTCAGCATCTAAAAGTTCCATTTGAAAATGAGAAATTATTCAGATCTGTACTTGAAGCTCTAAAACAGATGTCTGATACCTAGGAGAACCTTCTACAAGACAGAAACCTAGATGGAGTAGGAAACCTTTCTATCATGATTGGAGATGACAATACCCATACAAAGAGGAGAACTTTAGTTCCTTTCAGAGACGATATAGACCAGATTGAAAGATAAAACAACAACATTTAGAGGTTTAAAAAAAAGAACATTTTGATGGTTTTTTTTTTTTTTTTTTTTCAACAATGGTCTAGAACCCCAGCAAAGAGCTGGATAAAAAGTACCATCAAAAACTGATATATTTAATAAAGTTTTTTTTGGTTTTTTTTTGGAAAACTTTTATTGAGGGTTTTTTTTTTAGTTCAAAGGAATTCAATACATACATTTTCGTGGACGTTTAGGTCCTATTTTCGGTGAAACACGGTTTACAAATGAGTGCATTATTCTATACAATCATAATCTTGCCATGGTTTATGTCAAGATACAGGGAGTGCAGAATTATTAGGCAAGTTGTATTTTTGAGGATTAATTTTATTATTGAACAACAACCATGTTCTCAATGAACCCAAAAAACTCATTAATATCAAAGCTGAATATTTTTGGAAGTAGTTTTTAGTTTGTTTTTAGTTTTAGCTATGTTAGGGGGATATCTGTGTGTGTAGGTGACTATTACTGTGCATAATTATTAGGCAACTTAACAAAAACAAATATATACCCATTTCAATTATTTATTATTACCAGTGAAACCAATATAACATCTCAACATTCACAAATATACATTTCTGACATTCAAAAACAAAACAAAAACAAATCAGTGACCAATATAGCCACCTTTCTTTGCAAGGACACTCAAAAGCCTGCCATCCATGGATTCTGTCAGTGTTTTGATCTGTTCACCATCAACATTGCGTGCAGCAGCAACCACAGCCTCCCAGACACTGTTCAGAAAGGTGTACTGTTTTCCCTCCTTGTAAATCTCACATTTGATGATGGACCACAGGTTCTCAATGGGGTTCAGATCAGGTGAACAAGGAGGCCATGTCATTAGATTTTCTTCTTTTATACCCTTTCTTGCCAGCCACGCTGTGGAGTACTTGGACGCGTGTGATGGAGCATTGTCCTGCATGAAAATCATGTTTTCTTGAAGGATGCAGACTTCTTCCTGTACCACTGCTTGAAGAAGGTGTCTTCCAGGAACTGGCAGTAGGACTGGGAGTTGAGCTTGACTCCATCCTCAACCCGAAAAGGCCCCACAAGCTCATCTTTGATGATACCAGCCCAAACCAGTACTCCACCTCCACCTTGCTGGCGTCTGAGTCGGACTGGAGCTCTCTGCCCTTTACCAATCCAGCCACGGGCCCATCCATCTGGCCCATCAAGACTCACTCTCATTTCATCAGTCCATAAAACCTAGAAAAATCAGTCTTGAGATATTTCTTGGCCCAGTCTTGACGTTTCAGCTTGTGTGTCTTGTTCAGTGGTGGTTGTCTTTCAGCCTTTCTTACCTTGGCCATGTCTCTGAGTATTGCACACCTTGTGCTTTTGGGCACTCCAGTGATGTTGCAGCTCTGAAATATGGCTAAACTGGTGGCAAGTGGCATCGTGGCAGCTGCACGCTTGACTTTTCTCAGTTCATGGGCAGTTATTTTGCGCCTTGTTTTTTCCACACGCTTCTTGCGACCCTGTTGACTATTTTGAATGAAACGCTTGATTGTTCGATGATCACGCTTCAGAAGCTTTGCAATTTTAAGAGTGCTGCATCCCTCTGCAAGATATCTCACTATTTTTGACTTTTCTGAGCCTGTCAAGTCCTTCTTTTGACCCATTTTACCAAAGGAAAGGAAGTTGCCTAATAATTATGCACACCTGATATAGGGTGTTGATGTCATTAGACCACACCCTTCTCATTACAGAGATGCACATCACCTAATATGCTTAATTGGTAGTAGGCTTTCGAGCCTATACAGCTTGGAGTAAGACAACATGCATAAAGAGGATGATGTGGTCAAAATACTCATTTGCCTAATAATTCTGCACTCCCTGTAGGTGGTGTGTACCTATGCATTCAATATTCCATATTACAGTTGTCGGGTTTCAGGCGGGAGCTGTGTGCCATCGGGTTGCTACTTATCGTTACCCTTGTCTGTGTTGGTCGTCAGGTGTGGCCTCTGTTAAGGCGCTGGTTATACATTATATGGTTAGCAGTCAATGTGTATCAGTAGGTTGTTACGGTTACCTGATGATACCTTTTATGTGTGTGCTATGCATAGCTTATCAGCTTTTGTTGGCCACTGGTTAATGCTGTCAGAGTTTGTGTTGGTCTTTTCAGTTGTGAGCCTGTCGCACATATCTGGCAAAGGTCTTTGTGTGTAGTTTTGGTTAGATAAATTGTATGTCCGTCCACCTATCTATGGGCCGGGATTTTCCGGCTCATCTATTAATATTTAATAAAGTTCATGCTTACACCTTCACAACAATTCCTTTGTTCACAAACTAGAAATTTACTTCTACCATAGCACGATCGATTGCACAAGCCATAGTCATTGCATACAGCGCTAACAGTGAACCCTTCCAGAGAGGTTTACTGACTTTTAACAGTGGGATGTTGCCGATATATTTCTTGCACTGTAGTTTATATGGTATGCTGTAGTAGTCATGGTAGTTTGGTCCTTTTAATATAATTTTATATACTTGTCAATGTTTTATTTCACTTCTGAAATGCTGGATATATTGCATTACTAAACATGTTAACAAGATTTTTCTTTTTTAAAAACTAGCTGTGAACAAATATTTATTTACTTTGTTTTTCCTTATTTTAAAGGAAACTCGGTGGCCCTGTTGATGCCGGTGCTGAATATCAGAAAGATCTGAGTGAAGATATCGGCAAACTTAATAGGCTATTCGGTGGAGGGGACATGTCCAAATTCCCAGATTTCAAGTTTGAAGGCAAGTTCTGTTACCTAAAACTGACAAATAAAATCATATTATCAATTTAGTGTTTCAGCTGTACCAAGTTGGGTACATTTTGTTTTCTATTTAAAACTTTTTAACCTTTTATAGCATATCTTTCACAGTAGGGTGGAGAGAAGTGACTGGGCATTATTATTATTATTATTATTATTATTACAAAATTACAACATATATCATAGTGCTGTATTAATGAATATAGAAGAACTCTACACTACAAAGTGATAAAACAAAACGGTTTCGAGGAGAGTCCTGCTCAAATGAGCTTACCTTAATGAATTGATCTGAAACCCTTAGGAAAGTGTTTTAACAATCAGACGTGTGTGTGTTCGTTGCTTTTTTTCCTACAGTTAATAGTTTATTTCAGATAATGGCTCGTTTTTTAATCCATAGGCAAACCAGGCTAAAAAAATAGCTCATGCGTATCAAAAAAGGCAGTATCTTAGGAGAGGGGCCTGATGTAGTGGTTATTCTGCCATGGTGCAGTAGCAGTATTTTATTTTTCTTTGTTTTCTCTCTACCATGCTACTAAAACAGATTTTCTAACTAGCATTATCTGTTCATGAATAATCTGACCACTTGCACAAATTTACAAATATCTTAAGACTTTTTCCTGCTTTACCTGTATGGAGGAGATTATGGGTCTTTTTCAAATAATACAAAAATTTAAATTTTTTTTTTTCTTCAAGAAATCTATACACAGGTTTATAAGTGATTAGACTACTTATATTTGGTTCCCCCTGGTATCATAACCATCATATAACTAAATTGGGTATGGTTCTTGGAGTGTTGCTTTAAAGGCAATGTTGACTCCGTGAACAGAATACATGTTTTAATGTTTGTTTTATCTTCTTTCAGAACCTAAATTTGAGGAATCTTCAAAGTAACTGCTTCTGGCCTGTAAGAAGAAATGTTTCTTGTACTTCTGTTGCATTGCCCACTCCGATAATTTAATAAAACATCTTGCTGATCCATTTGCAGTTTTTGTTGTTTGTCTGTACAATAAAGGTTACCTTTACTGATATTTATCTTCATACGTTAACATTTCTATATACGTCATTGTAATGGACTTTGTCCATTATAATTGGCACAAAATATGGATGATCAGCGGCCCTCTATACAAATTGAATCCATACATACTTTCTTCTTATTGTTTGCCATGTGTTGTTTTTTTTTTTTCTTTCATGCGTATTCGTTTTCAGATTAATATGCCACAATCACAAACTATTTATCATTTGAAGCTGGTTACAAGAACATTACATAGATTTTGGTTTATGTCACTAGTCAGCACAATCCCCACTTTTCTGTGCAGTTGGGTATCCTTTTAAAGGCGAAATGTTATTTTTACTGCATGAATGTATCATTGAAAAGAAAATTGACTTATCAAGTCAGTAAGGTCAGCAGGGTTATTTACTAAAGAGAGAATTGGATTTCAAATCTAAGGCCAAAATATCTGAAATGGGAAAATTCTCCAAGTTGGCGATGTATCCAGTTCAGCTAGTTTGGCCTTAATTTGAACTCCTCTTTACTTTCCCCACAGTTCTCACTCTAGTAAATAACTCCTGAACCTTCGAACCTTCTAAATCAAAGTTGCAAAGAAATCCAAATGCTCTGGAGACAAAACTGTCTTACTCCGTTCTATCTTAGTGTAATTAATAAAGCTTTAACATAGTGTAATATATACGTGCAACATCCTTTTTATATTAAAGGGACACTATAATCACCTGAACAACTTCAGTTTAATGAAGTTGTTCAGGTGAGAAGTATAGCTCCCAGCAGCCTTTCTCATGTAAACACTGTATTTTCCGAGAAAATACATTGTTTACATTGGAAGCTAGTAACACCTCCAGTTGCAGTCACTCAGGCTGCCACAAGAGGGACTTCAGAGTTGATGAATGCATAATTCGCATTCATCTTCACGTTTGTCGTTTTCACGCTTGGGTGAAGACATCAAACGTGCTATCAGCATATAGGAGGCACTGTGAACGCACCTCTTCTGTCCTGTAGTAACCCCGAGCCTGTCAGCGATGAAGAGCCAACAGTGTGGGAGATAAGATCTCTGCACACCGCGTCGGCGCGAGCTGACAGGCTGAAGACTGGAGACCGAGCAGGAGGGGAGGATCACAACTGTAAGTAAACTTATTTTATGTGTGGGTGTGTGACTTTATTGGTCACTGTGGTTGTATCAAAACTAGTACAGAGTGAATGTAATTACACAGTTAAACTGGTTTTTTTTTTCCATCCAAACTTTGAAAGCCAAGCAGGGCTGAGTGTGTGTCTTTTTTTTTTTTTTTTTAAACTACATTAGAAAACCCTGTTTGTCTCTGGGGTGGAGACATATCAGCAGCTCAGCTCCCGTTAACCCCTTAAGGACGGCGGCCTTCCTATGCCGTCCTTGGGGACCCGACTCTAAAGGCCGGCAGTCGGCATAGTACGTCTCCGCCGTCCAGGGGTCTTACCTGATCGCTGGTGATCCCCTGCCGGCGATGGTGATGGGGGACTTGCCTGGCATCCCAGGCAATCCCCCTGCGTCTGATCCCACCCTCCTGGGCCATGTGATCACGAGGTCCTTGAATGACAGGTAGCCCCCTGCTGCCTGAAATAAAGTTAATAAAGCTTTAAAACAGTTTAAAATTAAATATATGCTTAGATTATATATATATATATATATATATATATATATATATATATACACACACACACACACACATACCATGTCTAAGTGTATTTTAATATTAAAACAGTAAAATGTATAACAATATCATTTTTCACACACAAACGACACTTACACTGACGATATTGTTGTGATATGTTTTACAGTTTTGAAACACTAATATTTGTGTTCAGCGAGTCTCCGGAGTATAACAGTACCCCTCATGTACAGGTTTTATGGTGTTTTCAAAAGTTAGCAAGTCAAATATAAGGCTTGGGTTTCATTTTTTTCACATTGAAATGCACCGGATTGGTTACGTTGCCTTGGAGAGCGTATGGTAGCCCAGGAATGAGAATTATCCCCATGATGGCATACCATTTGCAAAAGTAGACAACCCAAGGTATTGCAAATTCAAATTAGTTTCCTTGAATTTTTCACACACAAACAAATATTTCATGCTAACTTGCCCAGTGTTTGTGACTAAGTGGCTACTAAAAAAAGACTTGACATTTTGCAATACCTTGGGTTGTCTACAGGGCCGGACTGGCCCACCGGGAAACCGGGAAATTTCCCGGTGGGCCGTGGCACCTGGGGGCCGGCCGCCAGGCCGGGTGGCAGCTTCCCCGGTCCGGCGGGCTGGGCAGGGAGGCAATTGCCCCCCAGGCCGCCCTAAATTCCTGTAAGACCGGCCGCGGCGGGCCGGCCCTTTAA